GCTTGGGTATAGGCAAAGACTGAAAGGTTACAGACCTAATGTCACTTGCTGGCCAAGGTTCATAGATCCCACGTCACTGTCTGTCCCAGGGTGCTGAGAAGTTAATAGAGAGGCCTCTTGACTTCCATCAGCATTTCTCACTTTGTGGCTTCAGTGGTGTGACCAAGAGCAAGGTCTGAGGTCATCGGGATTCCCCCTTTTGGATCTAGACATTGCTTAAACTGTCTTCTTCTCAGAAGAACATCAGCAGAGGGGACCATTTTTGTTTTGTTTCCAGGATGACAATTCGGGAGCTGGTTGTTTTAAGACAAGGCTGCAGGTGCAGTGAGATTAATTCTTTGGAATGCATGGTTATGTATCTGAGGCAGCTTGCAAACATCTTCGGGGAATAGCTGCTGGTGTTCATATCAGCTTACAGGTGAGATGATAAGTCATCTTGTGACATCAGGACCAAGGAGTTTTGTTGTATCAGATAAGACAAAGGTAAGCATTTGCTGCTGGGGTTTCCGCAAGACCCAGCATTCTGCACTTAGGTAAGAATTGGGGATGAAGTCACACAGGTTTGTTTTTAAATAACTCAGTAAATATGTGCTCTTCTAAGAGATTTACCAGGAACCTTTGCCTTTATCCTCTCCAAAGAAGGATAAAGCAAGATTTTAGCTTAATATCACATTCTTCCCATTTGTACATGCATGCGTGCATGTGCAAACACGCGTGCACTCACACACACTTCAACTTTATTTAGTTTAGACAAAAGAAAAATTACAACAATTTTTGCCAATTTTTTTTTCATAACTCTGGTCCCCTTGGAAGTATCAAAGATCTATAACAAAATTCTCCTCTTTCTTTCTTAAAAATAATTTATTTTTAACTTCTGTGTATCTGTATGAGTTTATATGTACCATATGTGTGCAGGTGCCTGGTGAGTTTGGAAGAGGGCATCGTGCCCTGGAACTAGTTATAAGCAGTTGTGAGCCACCTGATGTGGATACCGGGGACTGAACCCAGGTCCTCCGCAAGAGGACTAAGCTCTCTTCACCACTGAGCCAGCTCTTTAGTCCCTCCCTGAAGTTTCTTATATATAGTTGCAGTGGTTCTAAACTCATCCCAGTTATGTACTGGAGTGTCATCAGTGTTAGCTAGGGTTTTGCTTCTCATTTCCTCTACTGATGTAGTATACTGAGGTTTACTGGAACTATACAAATTGTTTTTTTTTGAACAAGTGTTTGTCCCTTATCTATTTATTGGGCAAGGTGCATCAACTACTGAAAATCAGGCTTATGCTTTGAGCCCTGGGATGGATTGATGTTCAGAGTATATAGTCTCCAGAGTCCTGGTCTATCAACAATGCAATTGCTGATGGCATCTCTTATCCTCTATGAGGGTGAAACCTCTATCCAATAAGCAGTATCTGTGTTCATGGATGTGTGTACATGAAAGGGCATGTCTTATGTGTGCAGATGTGTGTAATTTTATGTTGCTTTGATATTCTTTATCATAAACCCGTATATGTCATTTGATCAAGTCATTAAACCGTTGGAGGCAAGTCCAGATATTTATAGTGCTAGCTAGAGCAAATAGTGCTCATGCAACGTGTGCACATATAGATGGACTGTGGCATCTGAAGTGGAAAAACAAAACTCAGTGCAGAGAAATCTTTGTATTCTGTAATATGAGTCTTAGTCCATGAAGAACAAATGTTCCATAGAGTTGATGTAATCATCATTGTTTTGATAGGAAGCATTTTCTGTCTTCTATTCACCAAATAAAGATACAATCCAAGGCAGTGTAGAGACATAATCATTATATTGTGGTAAATTTTCAAAGGAAAAAAAAATTCTTGGTGTACACTGCCTACCCTCAGTCACTCATTCAACGTCTTCAATACCGCCGCCACAAGAGGCTCTTTCCTGTCTGGCGATGGAAAAGGCTGGTGGGAAAGGACTCCCTTCCAATAGTGTTTCTTCTCTTTGGAACCAAGCTTATAACCTACCTGAAATAGAACCAGAACTAGAGGCAATGAGTACAGATGAAAGAACCAGAAAAAAATGGTGTCTGCATGTGTCCATATATATTGATCTATATACATTTGTATCACCGGATATCTGTGTGTACTTGCATGTATGTGGTATGTGTGTGCACTTAAACCAATGGTTGAGGCCATTTCAAGTGCAGGGAGGCTACTGTGTTTTGTCAATCCCCAGGGGAAGATGCTGTCTGAAGCAGGTCTTTTCCTGCCATCAAGACTTAGGTATTTTACTTTTTTTCATAACCAAAAGACTCAACTCCTTCTAATTTTAAGAGCAAACTCCTAAGGTTAGCACACATGGCCAGGATGAAATACAAGTTCTCCTGGCCAGGAAAACTTGAGTCTTAACCAGTAATCTTGTGTCTCATACTGAAAGAGCATATTTGTAGTTGAAAATGTTTGTGTTATATGTGCTATCTCAATAGATGATAAGAGTTGGGACTGCGACTGTGGAGAGATGAAAAGGAGACTGGAAGAAATCCCAGAGCTTAATATGCAGACATACAAGGCAAAAGTAGCCTCTTTACTGCACATCTTAGGCCAAAATATACCAGATTTGGAACTTGATACAAAAAAAGTAACCTAGTGTAGTTTCTACAGGTCAGCAATCACTGACTTAGCTCTATTTAAATAAATGTTCATTTATGGTTCTATGGCTTGCCATTTATAGGCAGAATATTTGAAGCAGTTTGATAAGCTGAGGATGTACCCCTGAAAGTTCATGTAGATCTGAACTGTATTTTCTGCCAAATAGAAAGTAGCCCTCAAGCCCCAAAACTGAAATATTTATGAAAGTATCAAACGTACAAAATTGCTACACATTTTATTTGCAGACTGCAAAGTGAAGAGATTAGCTGCTGCTAATCTCTGCTTGTAAATACCTCAGCTCAAACGTGAAGGTGCACTCTGTTGCTGCAGACAGCAGCGTGTGGGAATCCCAAGTTGCTACATGGGATGAAAAACAAAATCTCCAGCAGACACAGGCTGAATGAGCCCATGTATCCAGCATTCCAAAAATGGCAAAATAAGAGATGCCAAACAGGTATAGTGGGGGTGGGGCTAGGGAAACAATAGAGGTGTGATTTAAGAGCCAACTCCAGGGAGTGTCTCTGTGTTGATGGAGCCGTTCTAAATCTTGATTGTGGCTGTGATTACATGAACCTCCACACGTGGTAACATGTCACAGAGCTACACATGAAATTATCGAGATTTTTCAGAAGAAAATAACGAGTGTATGCAAAAGCTTGCTTTTCCGTGTCAGTGTTGTGTTTTAGATACTGTCCTCCTTGTGTAAGATGGCAGACAGCACTGGGGGATCCTGGGTGGTGGGCCTAAGGGAACTTTGGTGGACTGTTTTTGTAGTGAGGCTGTAATTATTGAAATACGAAAGTCTTAGATCTTGTGTTGAAGAAGGAATCCCAACTACTAATTAAACATACTTAGGAAGCGATTTAAGCAGATTGTGGTGCTTTCTGGAGGTGGGGCTTTGGGGAACAAACACCAAAGACTTGATTTACCACAAGCCTAGCGTGTACGTCTGCAACCGCCAAGCTGTGCAGATGAAGCAATGGCTCTTCCCATCGCTTCTTTAGAGGTGTAGACTCAGGAGACTCCAGAGCAAGCAGAGATCTTACAGACGAACTGGGCCGAGCTCTACTGCTCCCCTCTCTAGGTTTTGGTAAACTCATTGGTAACTGGAGAGCTGTGTCATCCTTTCCCAGGAGTGTCTGGTCTAGTTCTAAACTTTAAAGGTCACCTTTTCCCCAGTACAGACAACAGAAAACTTAGCGGTAATCTTGTAAGTTGTTCCTTATTATCTATGACAAGAATTTCAGTTTGTGAGGACGACATATGTGGATGCAAACATGGTGATGGACGGCATCTTGCAGGCTACAAATAAGTAAATATGAACAAACCAGGGTGCGCGCCACTGCTTAGCAAACGTTAACTGTTTCAGACAAGGCCTCGGCAGGTTTCTTGAGATGAATTACTATTACATCTTCTTGGTAACATCACGATTATAGTCACATGTATTCACAAAGGAGACGTTTGCTGGGTCAGTAGCGTCCATAACAGCTCACGGATCTGCTAACTCACTGAGATTTGAGCCAAGCAAAGACTAACTTGTGAATTGGACCTGCTGTCATTTGGAATAAAGAAGATATATTCTCTCCTTGACTCATGTAGTTTATACTTTCTTAGTCTGTGACTTTTCTTCTTGGATTGCTAGTACCTGAGTTCCTTTGGAAATCCACCCCCTGGACAGACCCAGAAGTCTTCAGGTTAGGCCTTTACTCTTGATCTCATGCATAAACAAATGATCTTAATAACAGGATTCTCTGTGTGGGTATTGATTTTCATGAAGTCTATAATGATTCAAGTCAGTCTTTCAAGTAAACACGGGAACAAAATTAGCCACCCAGATCTTTTGTATAACCATTTTATTAACAAAAGGAACCCATGGGGTTCAAACAAGAGTACAAAATACAATTCTTATTTTCCGCTTGGTTAAGTTATTACATTTTTAATAAAAATGTTTAAAAAGCTAGTGAACTTATCAAAAACATAACCCTTGCCTACTGAGTTTCTTATTGTGCAAAACAAAAAAACATAGAAAGTAAAGTTCTGCCCAGGGAAGGAAAGATCTGTGTGCAGCAAAAGACAGACACACTTTTAATCTCAAACTTCGGGCATCAAAAAGAAAATCCGAAGGGCACTTTTCATTTTTCCAAAAACTAAAGAGAGCAAGAGGGGACTAAACAGGCAAGTATTAGCAGCTAAAGTCTGATCTTCATTGGCAGGGTTTCCGAAGCAGTGTTCTACATTCATCTTATCCTGACTATAAGCTTTGGGGCAGACAGAACCACATACAATTGTGTCTCTGAGCTCGTCTCGTGAAGGCCACAGTTGGCTCTGCTTCACTTCCCCAGGGTTCTTCACGGTTTCTTTAAGCAACTGACTGCACTGGCCTTTCTACAGGGAGCCCACCTGGTCTACACTGTCACTTCCTTTCCCTTGGTTTTGGTTTCATGGAGACGGACCGCGTGTTGACAAGCATGTAAACTATGGGCTGGAAGCCGACAGACAGCTCACCATCTTTTCTACAGTAAAAACAGAATAGTTTAGATAGCACTCGAACACCCACAACTGTTGACGGCCATACAACAAAAAGATCAAAGAAATCTCTAAAAAACTAACTTAAGAAACCATGTTTGTGGCAATCCCCACACCACAATTACTGGCAATACCATTTGGCATCTGAGACAGTGACTTAACAATGAAATACTCGTGTTTGACACTAACAACCACAGGAGAGGTATGCTCAGAGGGGACAAGTACATGTTTAGCTCACCTTGGTATAAAAATTCCTGAACGAATGGCCCACTGACTTTTGAATATAAAATTTAACCCTAGACAAATGTCATTAAGTGAATTTGGTGACTGGAGATAAATCCATCATTTGGATGGATACAGCACAACCTTCTGCCCGCAAAGCACCAGGGTTTCTAGATCAAACCCTTAGGACTTGGCTGGTCCAGACCTTCACCGGGAGACTATCCCTCCCACCTGGTGTCAGCAATGTTCTCAGCTCCTGGGACCGACAGATTGGAGGCAAAACAATTGAGCCTGTGACCATGAAGGGGAGGGGAAGAGGCTGGTAAAGACATGGCTGACCCTGCTAGCAGCAACACAGCCCTGTAAGTCTCAATTATCCTGAGGCTCAATGACGACAAAATATTGCACCAAAACAATTAAGAAAAATCACAGTTTAAATGGAATTACTAATGAACTGGAATAAGAACGCACAGCATGGTAACTGTCATCCACCCGCCAAAGCCCCATCACAGGAAGAGCGCAGGCACATTCCTCTCCTCATTTGGGTTGGGATTTCTTTTAAGATCTTAGGTGTTTCTATTTAATGCTAACTTCATTGAGTTTTCCCTTAGTCTAGCTTCAGATCAAGTGGCAGGTTAAAGGTGTCTGCTAATTACACCCAGCAGAAACCCCAGAGGTCAGTCAGGCCTGGAGTTCTGCGAGCAGGCCTGACAAAGTCACCAGAGGTAGCAGGAGAGAACACTCTGTTTTGTGTAGGTATCAGGTATCCTAAAGATGTCATGCCTACCCCATCTTTTTTCTAATTTTCCCCAGGTAAACAAGGGATGAGGAACATCAAACACACATCCTGCAGAAGTTCTTAAAGTGGAAGAACAGCCTTCACACACACATGAGAACTCTTTCCTTCTGAAGTGGCAAGCTTGAAGGAATCCCTTCTAGGTTTCCTCACACAGCATAGCCAATTTTCAGTGTACGTTTAAACCTCCCCAGGAAAGAGTAGAAACATTGTCACTTCCTTCAGGATCTCCCATGACCATGGACTCCAGAAAGGATACTTTTAAGGCCCTCGATCCTTGCTGTGGTAACATGGTAAGAAATCATGAAGACCCCCAAACCTGGGGACCTCAATTCTCTTGAGAGTAGACCATTTCCTCATTCACACTCATTTCCAAGCTGTCTTGCTTCCCCAAATCAGGCCTTCCTACCAAGCCCACAAGTTGCTAACTGTGTGAACCCTGGTCAGAGCACACTCCAGTAGCATTCCAGCTCCTTAAGACTCCCTCTCCAACGGTGCAGGCCTTCCTTCACTTCCTCTTCCACCACCAGCACTTCCGGTATTTCAGTTCACATTTTCATCCACTTTTAGAGGGAACAACTGGCCCCACCCTAAACTTGAGTAACCATCCCACCGGCCCACTAAAAGGTTCTCATAGTCTTCCGTATCTGTCATCTTCACACCTGAAGTGCATCAACGTTCTTAAGTTAACTTTCTCTCTCCTCTAACAAGGCAGGCGAAAGAACCAATATTCTAAGTTGGTAACAACACAGTGAATTCTGCAGTCTCTTCAGAGAATGAAGGAAACAGGCTGGGTCTCTTCGGCATCGCTGGGATGTGGATCAACCTACAAGACAGAAAAACCGGGTGATGGCTAAGCACCTTGGTTCTCCTACCTGCTTCTAATTACATGATAGCTGTAAATGTTAGTTGCTAGCACCTGTTATTAAGTCCGCCACCGACTGCTGAGCTCTTTGTCTTCTATGGCCAAATAAAACATCTTCAAGGCACCCCACAAGAGTGCACGTGCATGCCACAGATCACAAGCTAAATACCAGAAAATGTGCTAAGTGGCTGTGATAATCTATCAACGCGGTAAGAACAAGTTTATGCATATACCCAGCCAACTGTGAGTCAGCAACGGTCCATTAATGAATGGGGGTGGGCAAGTGATTATCTGAAGGCAGTATAATGAGCTTAATTTTCTTTACCTCTGAGTAAAGAGGTGGAGGCTGAAACCGGAATTCTTGTATGCAGGCAAACATAGAGTAGCAGGCTTCTCCTTCACAGTCAGGGGGCTGAGGGAACGGAGGAACGTGTTGGGAGAATTCTTCCTCGGACACCACGTCTGCGTAATTTGGTGGTGCTGAAACAGAAATGGAGTTTGAGCTCTGAAATCCATGCAAAAATTCCCAAAGCAAGAGACTGAGCCACACTGAAGATTCTGTGGCCATCACAAGAAAAGTTTTAGTTCCCTTAATACACAGCCACTAATATTGATGACAATCCATTTCCATTACATTCCTTTTCTTGTGACCTACATGTCACAGTCTAGGCAAACAGAAGTCTCTGAGGTATAACTACAGAAGATGTGCAACAGTCTGTACTTCTACCTGAACCATTTCTCGTTGTTTTAACATTATAAAGTAGCCTTGGGAGATGCCGACTTTATTGCTGGGTTTGTCACTGGCTTTGTCCCATGGCTAGAGTAAATGTTCAAGATGCCTTTCCCGGGGATGTGATATAATTTTAGTAGTGTAAGATAGTATAAAACCACAGAGGAGCTGTGATGCTTCATTCACTGTCAACCTAGACATGGAATCACCTAGGGGACAGAACACTGGCCATGTCTGTGAGGGACTTCCCAGAGACTGGACTGAAGAAAGAAGAACCACTTTGATGTGAGCAGCTTTGTCCCAGGCACTCAGACTCGGTTAAGAGAGCTGGGGTCCGCTGAGCGCTTATCTCTCTCTGCTTCCGGACTGGGGATGCAACGTGGCCAGCTGCCCTTCGCTCCTGCAGCCAGAGCTAAAACGTCTCTCACTGCCACCCTATGCTGCATCCTCAAAACGGAAGTCAGACGAACCCTTCTTCCCTGTGGTGTCATTCTGCCAGGCATTTGCTCACTGCCAAAAGAACATGTACGCACTAATGCGGTGGGAGAGTGGACACGCAAACACTTGTTCCTGTCATGTTCTGCTTTCAGCTAGTCTCTATCTGAAACCTCACTGGAGAAGACATGAATGTTTTACCTTCAGGCTGCTCCGGCAGGGTCAGTGCCAACCAGCTCATGTCCATACTGAACTGGCTTGCGACACTGCTGTTTCTGCGGCCAAAGCCACTGTATGGAATCGTACCGATAACTAAGGGCAGTTCCTGCGTCAGTTTTTTAGCACCAGGAATGTGGATGTAGACCTAAGGTGCACAAAGAAAAGCATGCGTGAGGGAGAGGAAGGCACAGATTCAGGAGAAACCTCGTGGGAACTCAGCAGATTCAACTTCCTTTTCATGGAAACAAATGCCTTTGTCTCTCCGCACGCCACCCCAGGACAAACAGAAATTGTCCTGACGAAACAAAATGAAGGACAAACAAAATGAACAAACACTAACCACAGCACAACCTTGTGACAGGGGGCTGTGGCCTGTGTGTGTTTCACTGTAAGCTAACATATCTTGTAACCATCGTGGAAAATGAAGCTATGCTTCAACATCACAAACACTCCTCACAATCACCCCAATTCCTTTAAGTTTATGTCACTAAACTCCCGTAGGTACAGAGATATTTTTAGTGACAGTGAAGGCCTATCTTCAGATACCCACAAATGGCAGGAATGCTAACATTTCCCTAAGTATTAATGCAATAACTAGAGACAAAAATTTGCAATCCTATGGCTTACTGCTCTGTTTTATGTATGTTTAATTATTGAGGAAGCTCTGCTTACAGCTAAGGAATAGTCCACTCTGATAATGCAGCAATCCAGGATGGATGGAGGAACAGGTGGAATTTTCAGCATTTTCCCATTCCACGTGTCTGTAGTTCCAGAACCAATGTGGTTTCCTCGAACGTTGGCAACCATGTGCCGGACTGTCTTCGTCTTTCCACTAGCCAAATATGTCTGGGTTTGGAATATGGCCGCCTTAGGAACAACCAGGCGAGAGGAACAATTCTCTATTTCTGCATAGATGGGAATAGCTTCTCCTGAAAAGAGAAGTGAAACCAGATGGATTCGGGGACAAGTCAGAATAATCTCAAGAAATCAGTGAACACTGCCACAGCCCAGCCCAGCTGCAGCCCTGGCGGGAAGCTTCTGTGAGAAATCTTAGGGAGAGGAATGGCCAGCAGAGCCAAAGGTGACATGTTAGGTCGGTGGCTCTACTCACTTCTCCAGTGTAAAAAGACATCATTCAGAAGCCTCAAGATATATAATTAAACAATATGCATAAATCAAGATAAGGCACATAAAGAAATGATGCAGGAGGGGCTAAGCTTACTAACAACCTCACTGGAGTCCGAGGGATGAAAACCTGCCCAGCAGCAAGCAGAGCCTTGGCTTCTTGGGAACACATAAGGTTAAGGTGCAGACAGTGACAGGGCGGGTGAGTGAGTTCTCAGAATTACACATCTATCCCACAATTCGCCAACAGCTGTGCGACATGAAAATAAAAAGCCAGTGCTTCCCTACTCTCATGAATTTTATTTTGTTACTAAAGCAACAAGACTGGAATCAGAAAAAAAATGAGTTTTATTAAAGCCTATTATACATGCCCTTAAAAATATGCAAATGTTAATTATATTTTAAAATACAAAGTACTTTATAGAGCATAAAATGTACTGCTTTAAGTCGCGTCAGCTACCCAGTAAAATCAACGAGCCGTTGCTCTGGGCCTTCTCAGACATGCCGCTTACCGTTACAGTAGCCCTTTCTCTCAATCTTGACACTCAGCGACACAGGGCCAGACGTGAAGAGCCAGCAGCCAATCATTTTCTCCTGCGTTCTCAGCACAGGAGTCTTGAAAGTTGCAAACAAAAAGACTTTACTTGAACCATTCAAGAGAACTCATAGTCTTCCAGAGAATAATTATAAAGAAACACCAATCTTCCTTATTCTTATGTGATATTGTGTACTAAAACCCCTTTTCCTCTTAGGAAAACTAGGGCAGATTCTTAGATTTGAACGAATGTGACATCATCCTATTTTATTCTGAAGTTATTGTGTTTCTAGGCAATGACACAACATCCTTTAGAAAAGTAATCAAGGGTCGTATTCATACTTTATTCTACAAGTATTGTTGTAGTGTGCGTGTGTATGTGTGTGTATGTGTGTATGGTAGGCATGGCGTAGTGTATGCACAAGTGTGTGTGTGGGTGGGGTGCACCCCCATGCCAGGGCATGCAGAAGGCTAGGGAAAATGCCCAGCATCTTTCCTATCACTCACCACCTTCTTTCTGTTTGGTCTCCCAGCGAATCTGAAGGTCACTTTTTAATCTAAGCTGATTAGCCTGCCAGTGAGTCCCTGATTCACCTGCGTCTGTCCCCAAATTCTGGGGTCATGTAAGGCTACTACACCCAGTTTCTGCATGGGTGCTGGGAATTGGAACTTGGATCTTCTTGCTTTCACAGCAACACTCTTACCGCCGAGCCATCTCACTAGGATGGTGGAATTATGTTTTAAGACAATGTAAAGGTCGGGGGAAAGAAGCAGCGATGTAAGAATCCACAGTCAGAATGTTACACTGCTTGGCACGCACCACGCGCGGGCTGAGAAAAGAGTCTGTTTTGTTTACTTCAGAATACATATCAAACAGAACTTCCAAGAGTTCTTGGACCATTCTGGGGGCTTTAACTGTGCATCCACATACCCTGGGTCAGCAGCTCTGAATATGTCATGAGATTCATTGTACCCCTCTATAGGATTCTATTCTTCAAAGCAAGAAAAACACTGGGTTGTGGCTTAAAGGCTCTGTTTACAAACTGGAAAACCAAAACCTTTCTGCCAAATATTGCTGCTCGTCGTCTTTTTCATCAATTTTAGAAGTTAATAGTAAAAAGGTCAAGTGTCCGTTTTTGACAAAAAAAAAAACAACAGACAAAACAATAACAACAAAAAACAAAACAAGAAAACGAAACATCAATAGTAATTTATTACAAAACTATGACAATTTTAGAAATAGTTTTAAAATTCTACATACAGTTTTTTTTTTAAATATATAAGCTACTAAAGCCAGCACTTTACCAAATGGATCTCAAGGAGCCATTCAAGCGGGTCTGTGCCAGGGCAGTGTGGTTCTGGCTAAGCCACACAAACATGGTGTGTCTGTCATCTGTTATCTCAAGGGGGAACATTTATTCTACTTCTTGTGAAAATAAGAACTAAAAAAAAACTTTTAGCTGTCGGCTTTCCCCTTGTCTTTAAAAATATTAGCTAAAAAAAAAAGAAGAAACATCCAATACTAAAAACATGTATTTGCCACATCAGTGTCAAGATAGAAAGTTTAAATTATCTCAGTATTATCTATGAAGCAAAAAATAATAGCATTCATTCATATTTAAATGAAGACCCATTTGGTCCTATCGGCTTTCATGAAAGCCGAAGGTATAATTTTATATTATTTTGATAATATGGGTGCAGATAAAAGAATGTAGCTCATTAGTTCCCATACTGCCTATTCTGTTGTGTCTTAGAGGGTGATCCTTCTTACCAGCCTACAGTATTTCTGATGATTGTTAGAAGTTCAATGCCTTAATGTGGCCAAATCTGTCATAAGGAGATGATAAGTGAACGGCTCGCGGTGGCAGCTGCACCGGCTTACTTAATGCTGGAAAATGACATGCAAAATGAAAGGATACATAGCATAATGGCCTGGGCTTCAATAACCGGCTGAGCGTGATTAATGCTCCTTCGTAATTGCTGTTCCTCAACCTGCTATTATTGGAGAGTTTAGAATACCACAGTCCTGCGAACGTGGTCACGCTGGTCAAAGTAGCCCCTCTCTGCTATGCATTATGGTTATTAAGACTTATTAATGCATTTCAAGCCCGTGTAACTTTTTGGCAAAAGCAGCCCTGAACAGCAGGGACATAATCAATAGAATTAACACACATAATTTGTAATTTGCCCAACCTAGAATCACATCTTTAGAGTGAACGCCTATGGGTTACAATGTGTTTTCTGAACCGGCAGACGGGGATAGTGCAGATCACCGCGGCCCTGTCAAAATACAGACATCACTCCTGAAAGGGAGGAGGGACGGAGCAAGGAAGAGCGTACCAATAAGGGTGGTGTGTTGACATCCACGTGACTGACAACCGGGAGCTCTCTTCTTACACTCTGGTCTGGTACTTGGGGTTGTTCCAGAACAGCCCTCACACAGTACTGGATGCTACCATACTTCCCAGTAAACGACGTTGGCAACGGCCTGGAATAAACCAGAGATATTGGTTTGTGAGCTTATCTTCAGCTAGACAGAGTCAGGAAAAGCATGCTTGACAAGGTGGGCTAAGGTTGACAGGGAGGGTCACACGGGATGAGCACATGCACTTCAGTGTTGGGGACACCGGTGCTCAACTGACAGACACAAGGCAAGGGAAGGAAACAGAACATTGAGAAAGAGCTTCACTCACTCTGATGGAAGTTGAAAGCGAAAGGGAAACTCGTGTTTTCCGGGTTGTAATAAAGCGACGTCTTCACCTGAAAGAGACCATACTGCATTTTAACAAAGATCAACATTAAATCAAGAGTCTTCACAATCTAAATCATACGTTTTTTAAAAGGTGGTTTTCCTGGCAGGATACTCTGCAGGTTCATTAACCAGATCAAGAGCACTAAATGTGAATTTGTCTTTTACCAAGAAACACACACACACACAATCTTCTATCAACAAAATGATCAATTATATAGTTACCATAGAGTGCTAATACCTAGGGCTAAGAGTTCCAATGCACAAATGCAGTATGTGTGCATAAACACACATGTAATACACACACGCGTGTGCATGCACACACACACACACACACCTGGATGTTACTCTATTTATACTAACATGAGACACCGATATTAAACCAGATCCGAAAGGAACTGACAAGTTACATTCCTTTGGCTATACTACAAAATCATCCTATATATTCTTTAGACTGAGATACAAATCTTGGGGACAGCATCAGTAACAGCTGCACAGAAGACAGCCAAAGCAGCAGGAGTCAACTCTTCACCCTTAGCTCTACTAAGATTGACAGGGTTTCTTGGTGGTGAAAGCAGGATTTTCCAAACATAGCATGGCTCCATTCTCTATTCTTGCTAGCATCATTCAACATCATGCACAGGCTTGTTACTGAGCCAAGGCCAAAGGACAGGGACGGATAGTGTAAGACTAGAGAACCAATGATGAATGTCCACAGTCAGTCTGTTTAATGGGTTCCAAAGTGGATTCCGTGGCCTCCACTCTGGCCAATGGCTCCCTAGGGCATGTGACAGACCTTCCCTTCAGGCTCATACTTGAGGCTACACTGTGGGTGGAGGAAGGAAGGTGCAAAAAGATGGCGGACAACTTGGTATGGAATTTGTTTTGCTACCTGGTTTGATATTTCTGCTTCATGCAGTCAAAACCATTAATGAGGTGTGTTTCTTGTGGTTTACTTAATTACCGACAACTCAGTATTTCAGTTCTGCACTTTTGAAAAATTACAATGCATTACTGGCCCAAGGAGTCTCCTAAAACTATCTCTAGTTTTCAGTGTGTTCTACATAAAGGGGAAACAAGGAACAAGGGCTCGCTTTGCATAGAAAGACATCACAGGTGGGTGATCTGAAGGCAAAGGGAACAATGATGATGGTCAGGACATGAAGTTAGATGAAGTGGTGTGATGCGGTGTGAGTCCCAGAGGCTCCCAAGTGTGCAGGAGTGGCCATACAAGCCTCAGGAGGGTCCCATTGAGCCAAGGACTAGAATCAAGGGACACCTCCGTACCTCATCTTTTCCAGGGGAACTGGAACAAGAGCTGAAATGGGGTCTGGTTTGTGATTCCTAGGTTGCACACGGCAAAGTGCATGCGCATGTTAGAAATATGGGCTGTATATGAATCCAACATTTACCGGTCTCAGGTGACAGAAGGGACAGCCCTCGGAAGACCAGCTCGGGGGGAAAAGATTAGAAATTCGTACTCAAATAAAGACTAGAGAGAGCTAAAGTCCAGCGACTTCCCACATGGATAACGCCGGGCCTCGAGTCTGAGGATCAGAATACAGATGAAAGGGTAGTGTTTAAATGAAGAAGGGAGCAGCATGAGGAAGCAGGGCAGGTACGCAGAGAACAGGGCTGCCCAGCATGTTGAAAGGTGATAAGAGAGATGACGGCCCCTCAGGAGAGAAGGCAACACAGGAATTACAGTACTTCACATGAGAAAAATCAACTTGAGAAAATGGATAAACACCGTAACGCCTGGAAAAATGGGTTTCCGTCTTTCTTAAAACTTTTATGTTTAGTGAAAAACATTCACACAGTGCACAATGTAGCCATTTCTGTTCTGTCCTATGGCTCATTACTTCCGCCTTGTCCTCTGAGGACTGTAGTGGCATAGGGAACTGCTTCATTCACTGAGGACTTCTAGTCAGAGCTAGCAGTGAAAGCTTTTCATAAGCCTTGGGATCTAGAGATGGTGCCGTGGGGGAAGTGAGGGACCTGTGTAAGGTCACATTCTGGTGGGTACCTATGAACTGAAGCCAACTCTGTGGTTTCTGGGTCTTTATTGCAATCCAGTCTTAAAAACATGAAGAGGTTCAGCCATGCTGAAAGTAAGTGGTTCAGTAACAATAATAGTTGTAAAAAATATTCTTGGAAGATTTTCAAAAATAGATCCCACCATTGCATTTCCTAGGAGTCAACTTTTTAAAACATCTCCTCAGGCCATTGAATGATAGCCAGCTTACAGAGCTAATGACCCCAAGAATCTATCTGTGAAGTTGCTTCGTTCTTCAAATAGCCGGTATGTGGGGGTGATGTTTTCCCCCCTTAGCTAAAAGAGGCACCGACTTTAAGGAAACTATAACTATTGCTAATATATTCTAAGAAAACTGACAACTGTCTAGAATTAGAAATTCCATTTCCTTAGTTCAAAGCTACAACACCTTGCTTGTGGACCAAAAACCTATCTGTTAGTCCAGATTTTACCAAAACAAATGCTCATTTCTCATCCTAGATTCAAGGCTTCCAATTTTGTCTCCATTTCGTCAGGAGTTATGGGCTCAGAGTCTGAATCTTGGACAAAAACCTGTTTACTTCTCTCTTCCATGGCCTTCCTTCCAGTCAGCCATCTTTAACATCCTTGTTGGCTATTGTCACAGGGAGAAAAAAGACTCCTGGAATCCGCAAGGAAGAAAGGACACGAAGGCAGGTAAGAGCTGTCTCCTGCCACACCCCTTTATCCAAAAGGCAGCTCCTGCCATAGTGCATATTCCAGGATTTAACCATGGACATTGAACTCCTCCATAGGAGGAGAAGATCCAATCAGCAGTGAGCTCGCCTTTGATAGGCACAAGCTGATGAGGCCCAGGTAAAGTGTACAGCAGTTTCCCCTGGGAAAAGACTGACTCATGGTTCCTAGCATTTTCATGATGAACAACAGCAGTTTATGAGGCAGCATTAGCCCAGCATACATATGCATGGGCACTTCTGGAAAACTGAGTGAACAGGATGGCCTAATTCAGAAATCCCCAGATGGCATTGTCTCCAAAGGCCTTTCTGAAAGGGGAGAGGCAAGAGGAAGAGGAGGTGCAGGAAGGGACAGCTCTTAGTATGACCGACACAGGTTCCCCAGAGAGGGAACGTGTCCCTTGAACTACCCTGGTACCACTTCCCTCTCCCCAAGATGGAGTTTTCTGCAAATCATCCTGAATGGCATGGCAGAGGAGTGTCTAGGGCCAGGACAGGAACGAGTGGAGGACCATCAGACTCTGGGCGCCACATAATAGAACCTCACAGACTCTGGTCCCACTGTCCATGGCTCCAGGTCAGGAAGAACTCTACAACCCAGTCTAATCACTGGTTCCCACGGCAACGACTCACTCCCTTCTAGGTCACCAGAAGATCCCAGGAGGCCAGGTGCAAAGGCACACCACCCATCAAAGGTCTGGACACTTCCTAGAAGCCAGGTAGGGGCACATACTTCGCCTCCTGCCCTTCACCCGTGACAGTACAGATGGCCCCCCTTCCAAAAGCTTTCCTCACTGCCACCCACCACCTAGAGGCGCGCCCCCTCCCGCTCCCTCCCTGGAGATCTCCATGCTCACCAGCTGGGGCCTCGAGTAGGCGCAAGCGCAGGTTCAAGTATTCCACCTCCGAGGAAGCTGCTGGAGCCGCGCCACCGATGCAGACCCGGGCCCCAGCGCTCGGGCCCCAGGCAGAGGTGGCACGGCCATGAGCCTCCAGGCGCAGCCCACGAAGGGCCACCGGCTCTGCAGCCTCCAGCAGCACGTGCCCAGCCACTGTCTCCCCGCTGGAGTAGCAACCCTTGCTCTCATCTTCGAACACTAGTCCCAGGCTCTTGACGCGGCCCCGGGGACCACCGGCTCCCGCATCGCCGCCCATCCCGCCAGGAGATGCGGCTCTGCCAGCGAGGTCGACAGCGGCCCCGGGTTGGGGTAGCCGGCTCCGCGACGCTGCTGTCACGGGCGCCGGCCGCAAGCCCAGGGGCCACCACGGCCGCAGAGCCCAGACGGGTGAAACACCCGTACCGGGGCCCTGTCTCTTTAACACACCCCACTGGGACTGGAAAGGGGCCGGCACAGTCCGCCCACAGCGCGCGCCCATAGGCCAGCTGTGAGACATGCTTCTTTCCCATTGGTTAAGCATGACCACTGAGTCATTCCATTGGAGGCCCCTCGCCGGGCTGAGCAGCACGGTGGTGCGTGATCAGGGCAGCTCTACCAATCGGGAGACAGCAGAGTGCACGTGCACAGGCAGTTTATTGGCGGGGGGAAGGCACGGTCCTGGGCCATAGACCAATAGTGACACAGTGCGCCCATGTGGACAGAGGATGGGAAACAATATCTGTCAGGGAGGGGGAGGAACCGGGTTCCTAGGCGCTCTGTGTCAGCGTTGCTATGGTTACAGTGGGGGCGGGCTTTCCATCTACTAGAGCCTAGAGTACAAGTCTCTGAGTTCTTACTAGAACGTGAACTTGCAGCTGCAGCAGGCAGGGTGATTAAGATTACTTTTGCAGCACGCCCAATGAGAATTTTCCTGGAAAATGGAGCTCAGCCTTCTCGCCTCAGGCTTGGCCGTCTTGGAACTTTAAATCAGAGATCAGAATCTGCTACCTTCCGGGATTCTGAGCCTGACCTCGGTGGGGCTCAGAATTCCTGTAGCGGGTGAGAGCTGAAGTCTAGGAAGAATGAATGCTGTGGCTTTAAATGCCCTTGCCTTAAAGAATTCAGTTCCTAACCGCTGAAGTCCTTTCAGATTCAATCTCTCTGTTTCTTCTAAACAAAGTCGCGGTTTTAAAACAGCACCTGCCACTCCCTGGTGCTGGTGTAAACAGCAGGGATCCATTACTGACTGAATAATACTCCACTTGATCATTACAACTTATACACATGCACAAATGGTAAAATGTACAAATATTATGTCTGGAAAGAAAGAGTTATACACCTGACACACAAGTGCCCCGCCCCCAAAGGATTTTGTAACCTCAGGATCATAGTCCTCGAACATGCCCAACTACCTCCCTGACGTGTTCCTCACACACGCAGCTCTTCTTGTTGGCTTCTTTTAAATCTCGTTGTTCTAGATTTCCTTTGCTATCAAGCATAGTTAGATAGTTATGATTCCTTGGCCATTATTTTGTAATCTTTTATATCCTCTCCTTGTCAAAATTCTAAGTTTGGGAACTGTTAGGAAGGATTGATAACTGAACATTGAAACTGAAAGATATTTTTCCCCAAATGCCCTTTCAAGGATCTTTAAGGTTGTTCGATCTCTCTCTCTTTTGAGTTTAGATTATTAATACAGAGCTTTTTATTGTATTGTTGTATTAACTTATTTGTATAATATTTTTATTAATTCCTGGAGAAGTCCATACATGTATGCAGTGTATTTTGCTCATATTCTACCCTCATTTATCCCCCAACTCCTTCTGAATCCTTACCCACCTCCACAGTCTTTCTAACTTCATGTCTTCTTTTAATTTAAATTTTTTAATTTTAATTTAATTTAATTAGTTTTATTTAATTTAAAATTTAATTTGCTGTTGTATATCTCACCGGGTCCAGTCTGAGCTGCTCATATACTCATGCAAGGCCATCCACACAACGTGGCTGACCTACCAGGAGCCACACCCTTCGAGAAAGCTGGAACTTTAATAAGGTTTTAGAGAGTTCTAAGATTTCTTATCTCTCCTCAAATAAAGTGGAAAAGGCCACAAATTCATCCCTGTTTAACATCCCGAAATACCCTTGGGTTTCTGATAACTGTGTTTATAATGGTCCCTGCTTACTTTACAACACAACTTGACCTCTATCATGCATCTGTATGGTATTTATCACTTCAACTGGGACAAAAACTTGGTCCTCATACATTGCTTTTTGTTTTTAACCTTTGGTATCAAGCATAGAAACATGCAATACATGCTCAATAAGTGTGTGTTGACACACTAACGAATCACAGCCCATGAAGTGTCACTGGCTCTGTAATAGATGAATAGCACCCTGCCTCTTACTGGGCTTCCTATTGGCTACAGGAAGACAGTCTCTTCCAAATTAAGAAATGGGTGAATTCACAGAATGATACAATACAGAACTGCAGACACGGCGTCCTGTGGTTTCAGAGATCAGGCACTCCCGATTTGTTTGTTTGTTTGTTTAGTTTTGGAGATCCAACTTAAGATCTTTTGCAAAGGAGGCAAGCCCTCTCTCACTAAGTTACATCTCCACCCTTTAGGTTTTAGGTACAGGATTTCACTACACAGATCTGGGCAGTCTAGAAGTCCAGCTCCTTCTGCCTCTGTCTCCTGAGCGCTGGCATTTATAAGCATGAGCCATTGTGCCAGCAATGAGTTTAGACACTAGGCAGCAGAATGTGTGAGCAACATCAGCTTAGCAAATAGATTTCTTGGGCTGGTGAGATGACTCACAGGCACTACCACGGAGCTGCGCAACCTGTGTTTGTCCACAGGACCTACAGGTTAGAAGGAGGGAACTACTTCTGCGAGTTGTCTGAACTCCAGATACACGTCATGGCATGCACACACTCACACACAAATAAATATGGACATACATGCATATCTACATACACACACAGCAATAGACATCCTAAGATATGTGTGTATGTCATTTTATTTCACATTCAGTGTAATGTACACACACACACACATACACACAACCTTAAACTCAGTGAAATGTACAGGTATATACACACACACACACACACACAAGCTTACAAACCTTACAACAAGTTCAGAGTAATAAATACTTTTCAATTTGGATCATAAAATGTTTTTGCATTTGTAGGTGTCGTTGATATTTCTTTTGATAATTGCCTATCCTAATCATTTGTCCTTTTATTGATTAGGTTATAATTTTTGTGCTCTGCTCTTTGAATTCCTTGTATATTAATATTCATCCCTGCTCAGCAGAATAACTAGCCAAGGCCGTTGCGTAGGCTGTCTGTTTGCTTGAGTAATTGTTTCTCATGCAGAAGCATTTTAATTCCGTGCAGTTCTCACCGTCATTGTTTGGGTTGTCAGATTCCTATTCAGAAAGATGTTGCTTATCTCTGGGTCTTGAAGTGTTTCCGATACGTTTTTCTTCTAGTAGTGTCAACGTTTCAAGTTTTTATTAAGATCCTTGACCTGTTTGTGTTAAAAGTCTTTTCCTCTTCCTTTTCAAATTCCTTCTTCAATAACTTAGTCTTTTATTGAGGTCTTTCACCTCCTTGGTTGCTTTCACCCTCTGTATTACATTGTCTTTTGAAAGCTACTATGGCTGTTTTCCTGATTTCTCTCTCAGCATGTTAATTATTGGCACACAGAAAATACTGATTTTTTTGTATGCAGATTTTTTTTTTTTTTGTCCTCTGGTTAATTTCCTGAAAACACTTACCAGGTCCAAGTGTTTCCCGCTTTTCCTTTAAATGCAGGTTCATATCTCCTGAAAAGAAAGCTTTGACTCATTCTTTTCCAAGTTGTATCCCTTTCTGTCTCGTGCTTTATTGCTGTGACACATCCCTTTCCTCTCCTCCCACCCCCACCCCTACCTCCACCCCTACTCCTGTACTCAGGAGTGATGGCCCCACCCCTCATCACAGGCAAGTGGAAGCTGGACCAGAAGGTAGGAGAGGTGGCTCCACCCTTTGCCTGAGGTGAGCTGTCCCAGTGGATCAGACTGACCAGCTCAGCTCCCACCCAGACCACAGCCTGAGCCTTGGGTTGGCCCACCTTAACACCTACCTACCTACCCCTTCTATGGCCTGCTAGAGTGCTTGGAGGGACTGGCCCTGCTGAGCTATCTACAGGATCTCACTGACTAGAGCAGCAGGATATCAGATAGGAGCTGCCTTGAGGATCTAGCATTGATGGTGGGCCAGAGGTCCAAGGCCTTGAACCAGACCAGTGACTCTTGTAGTGAACATTGGTTGGTGGGGTGGATTGGACAAAAGAATACACGGTGTGACACACTGCAGCTCCCAGTGCCGCTAGGACAAATGAATAGGCATTGGAGAGCAGAGAAAGAGGAGCAAGGTTGGTTTTTAAATTTCGTTTTGTTTTTAATTAATTTTGGTAGGGTCTTTCTTTTGTGGGGGACACTTCAGCCAGGGGTGAGGGGTGGATATGGAGGGATTGAGAGGTGAATGGGATTAGGCCACATGATATGAAATTTCCAAAGATTCAATAAAAATTATTATTATTTGTTTTTTTTTTTTTTTTTGAGATGGGTTTCTCTGTATAACAGCCCTGACTTCCTGGAATTCACTATGTAGACCTGGCTGGCCTCGAACTCACAGACATCTGCCTACCTCTGCCTCCTAAGTGCTGGGATTAAATGTATGCCCCACCCAGATGCATGCCTGCCAATTATCTAAAAACAAAAAGAAAAGAAAAAAAGACTTCAAGCTCTGTATCAATGCGAGTGTAGAGAGTAGACACACTTGTTTTGCTTGTTGTCTTAGAGGAAATTCTTCGCGTTCTCTCCATTTAGTACAATGTTGGCTCTTGGTTTTTTGGGGATACCATGCATACGAAGCCAATGGTCAATGCTGAGACTCCTCCTCTGTTCCTCTTCATCTTATGTTTTGAGGCAGAGCCTTTCACTGAAACTGGAGCTTCCAGATCAACAAAACTAGCTGATCAACAAACTCCAGGAATCTCCTTGTCTTCAACTCCCTGGATGTTTTTGTATAAATTTTTATTTGATTTTTTGTTTCTACATATCTATCATCTGTCTATTTGTCTTTGTTGATTTTCTTTTTTGTTGGATTATTTTGTATATACATTTTAGTTTCCCTTGGTAATTTTTTCTACTTTCCAGTTATTTTTTCCTTGTCATTAGTTTTTATCAAATGTGATTTTTATGTCACTTGTTATTTTAATTTATAGTGTAGAATTTGCTTTTATTCTTAGTTATGTACATTTATGCCTTATCAAATTTGTATTTTCTGCAGTTATATATTTATTTATTTTTGTTTTGCAATCTTTCTTCCTCTTTTTGGTCTCTAATACTAGAAGGTTATTACCTTTTGATACTGCTCTACAAGTC